TTATTATTAGAAATGGGCCTCAACTCTCTCCCAGGTCAAGACGACTTTATCGCCGGCCCACCCGATTTCCATGACTGTGTAGGGTCCCTTCCCACCAGCCCAGCATACTTTCTATTTGGATTTGTTGTGGGGGGAATGTTATTTATTAAAGTGAAAAAGAGGGCTTAAGGCAAAATGAAAGAACCCCGAAATGGGAAAAAACTAGGAACTGGGCAAACGGTTAAAAAAAGCGAGGGGGCGCTAGAACTCAAACCCAGTACTGTAAAGGGGTGAGGGAAGGCGCCAAAAGAGGAGTTGGGATCACGGTTTGTAAGTCCGAGGATCCTGGTCCGGAAGGAGGAAAGCAGGGCCAAGTCGAAACAGCCAACGAGAGCGCGGTCCCTGCGGGCGGGATGCAGCGTAGCCCCACCTCAGATGAAGGAACCATTTTGGCAAGGAACAACGAAGTCTCTCGGGATGACTCCGCCCCGCTCAGCGCCCGACTCGGAGGCTCGTTTTTCCTCTTCGCCCACTTCTTGCCCTCAGGGCCAGGCCAGGCCTCCGACACCTCGGCCCGGACAGAACCGCTCACTACTCACCCTCCCCTCGAAGTTATTCTCCTCCACGTCGCTCATGCTGGCGCGTGTCTAAGGCGGCAGGTGGCCAAACAAGCGGGAATCCAAGGGAGGAGCGCCGAGCCCCGACTTTCTCCTGCCACTGCCTCCAATTACCTAACTTGTCTGCTGTGGCGGCGGCAACGCAAAATGGCGCCTTAGTCACTAAGGTCTGCGCCCGACACTGAGGGAAGGGGCGGGACTTCTCGGTGCCACGCCCAGATAAGCCACAATGTGGGCGTTGACGCCACAAGGAACAACAGAGCAAGCAGGGCGAGTGGCGCAGGCGCAGTTCACTAGGTCTAGCCTTCAGCGCGTGCTGGATTTCTCCAGGCATTCATAACGGGGTTTGCAATTGTGTAATAATTTTTGTTTTTGTTTTTGTTTTGTGGTCTTGTTCTTCTGGACTTCCACCTGAAATTTGCATTGAGATGTCGGTATATGTAACTTCAGTCTGTGTAGACATAATTAAAAATAAATCCTTCTGTATTCAGTCGGCTTTATTCTAATGTAGGTTTGTATACTCTTGTAATCAAAATTGCCTGCAGCTGTCTTTCCAACTGTTCTGTCTGTAGAAATGGAATAAGTAGACATATCTTTACCTCTGAAATCCTAGAAATAAATTGGCTGAGTTCACACAGTATCTGAGCCATGGTGTGCTTAATCATGGTTTTCTGAATAAACCACAACAATTTTCATGTCATAAACTGTAGCTTGCAAGCCACAATGTCTTGGTTCATATATTCCTGTAAGTAAAAGCAAACAAGCCATATTATGGCTTAGTGAATGCAATTGTTTCATTTTCATTATACTGCAATGTTACTTTATGCCACAAGCCAAAGCTTGTGCATCTCAGTTACTCTGAGAATTGGATAGCTGGGCGTTGTTAACCGATCAACTATTGCTCACATTAGAGAACAGAACTGTCATTCATCAAAAGGTTCAGCATTATTTCTCATGGTTTGAATATGGATCAAGACTTCTTAGCACATGATTATTAATCATTCAACAAGAAATAGAACATATCAAATATTATAACCTTCCATTTGATCATTTTCAATGTTATATTTACCCCTCATATATTCTCTTCTTCCAAGCTACAAATCCAACATGCAGTAAACCTCTTTAGAGGATAAAGCTCATGAAATAAGGACATTTATGGTCTTTGGTGGACTATAAGATACTTTGTTATTTTCTAAATAGACCTAAGGCCACATGCCACTGCTTTACAATCCCTAATTTTTCATCTCTGTGTCTCCTATCCACCCAGTCAATTCTTGCCACCACATTTTTTCCTCCATTTCCTACCACTGTATGTACTTAAACTGTGATGTGCAAGGACCAGTCCACACAAAATTAGGATTTCATAACATTGAGTATTCTTAAAGGAACTGTAAATCTCTCTCCCTTTCTTTTCTTGCATAAGACTAAAACAGCTACCACTTTGGAATTTCTTTCTGACTTAGCTGTGCCAGTATTCTTTTTTCCATTGAAGTTTTGGGGCCTTTCTCCTGGTGCACCTAGTCATAACTTGGAGATATCCCCAACCAATGTTGTTGCCTTCATCTTGTCCCCTATCTTTACCTAAGGCAGCATAAAATAATTTCTATCTGTTCTAGTTCCCCCATAAAGGGAAGGTTGGAGACTAGGCAATAGTTATGCAACCCAACTGGATCTAAGGATGGCCTCCAAGAATGGGTGCTCCACATTTCTTTCAAGGTAGCATGGATCACCCCCTCTCTCAGTCTTCCTGTTCCAGCCAGTCACATGCCTACTGGCTTCCTGCAGGAGCCATTTGGGCCAATGGTTGAGGCCACGTAGGCAATGTTCATACTTCCAAGAATCCTATCCACTTTTTCAGAATTCATAAGATGAAATAATCTCGGATAGCATTGGAACTTCTGTCATCTCTTCAGACTGTTCTCAATGCTCATGGAAGGTCCTGATTTGACTAAATTTTAATGATTTTATTCTGTATGCCACTGTACATTAATGAATGTAATACAAAATCCATTTTAATATAAGGAAATGTCACACACTATGTTACAGACATGGGGACATCTATAAGGGGGTGAAAGGGGACAAGTGATGAAATTGTAATGCAAATGCCCATACTGGCATCTGAGGTTAGGGCATAGGTACATATGAGCAGCATTTGCATGATATCATTGTACCACAGGTAATTTTTGCATCATCATAATTAGATATAGAAGCTGCAGGTTACAGAAAGTATTTAAAAGGACTTACACGAGTCATAAGTATAGTTCAATTGCTGAAGAACAGAAAGGTCACATGGACCCTGCAGAGATTTTAGTTCTTATTTCATTATATGGTTGAATACTGCATATTGATCAGGATTTTCCTCTGAATTCTGTAAAAGGCACCACTAACGAGGCTAAGATGTAGTTCAAGTGTCAGTCAGATGAGGTCTGTGACACTGCTGTGGCAGAATTGGGGCTGTGCAAAACTTTTAAAACAAGTTCTTCATAATATCTGGGGATGCACTTATTTTTGAATTGCTACATCTGCTGTTGTTGGCACATTCACGCAGAGACAGCTAGCAATAGCTTCTGAAATAGCCATGCTGCACAAGCCTATTTAACTGTTTTACAATTTTGAAAGGGGGGGGGGGGTTGAGATGCTCTTTAGTTCATGTGAACTCTTAAGTGGACTTAAGGGTTAACAAAGCAGTTGTTCTAAGAAACAATGAACAGCTGAACTCATCCGCTGAGAACAGATTTGGAAGGAAATGAATAGCATCAATAGTAAGCTAGATGTCTTTTCATTGGTGTTGCTATGTAATTAATTTCCACAACAAGAGAAGACAAGACTGCTAGTAGATCCATAAGGGAGCTTTGAAGATGCAGATAACCATATTGTAAAGAACTGAAATCAATGATTATGTTTACACAAGATGCTAAATCAGGGTTTCCATAAATAGGTTTTATTAAGTAAATGACAATTTGCTGGGTAAATACAATATTTATTTTCATTTGATTTATATGACCACCCAACCACCAAGTGACTCTGGACAGCTTACAATTGGATAGAAGTATAAAAACAAAGGAGAACAAAATGCAACAAACATACTTAAAAACAGAATAATAGGATAACAGCATAACCAAGTCCAAGCATTTTATAATCCATTAAAAAACCTTGCACTCTTGTCCCAGGAATTGGTACAAGACTTTGACTGCATTGCATAGTATTATTATTTTTTTCAAATGCCTGCAAATATTTCTTGGCCTAGAAGAAAGGTAACAAATAGTTTGTATTTTAAATAATACCATAATGTAAATTCATTTCAAAAGAAAGATCAGTTAGGTTTTTGTGGATAGCAGTTGGGTTGTTCTGAGTGTATGAACAAGGGTGAGGAATCAATGGTTCTTAAGATATTGCTAAACTACAGGTGTGAGGATTGGCAAATTGCATAGCTGCTGGGAACTCCAGACTCCTCTTACCAAGATTATGCAGCCAGAACACTGGTGTATAAGGATGACTTGGAACGTGCATCAGAGAAAATCAGACTGAATTGGCTTGCTGCTCATAGCCTTGATCTTAGTTCGGATTCCTCATACTCCCCTCATAACTTCTAGGAATGCTGGCAAAAGAGGTATTAGTTAAAAGATTAAAACTTATCTCAGAAGAGAGTATCTTTACCTGCCTCACTACTAATGTTGACGTTCCAGGAAAACCCAGGAGCAAATATTTTATGAATGTAATTTATTTATGGTCCAAGCTCAGTTAAGTTCACTTCAGGCTAGTTAACCAGTTTTGCAATCCAATTCTCTAAGTTTGCACAGTCCACTGAACCATAAACTAACACACACAAGCTGGGTTTGCACAACATGGTAGACTAAAATGTGGATGGTTAGTTTGTGGTTCAGTGTCTCATGTGAACAAGAACTACAGTGAGGTGAGATAAAATCTAATGAACTCTGCATTCAGTCACGTTACACACATTTTATACGGATACCACCGAAGCATGGAAAGGGAAGAGGTCATTTACTATCAAGTCCAACTCCCCTCTTCATACAGGAATCCAAATGTAAGCATCCCAGACACGTGGCTGTAGAGTCTCCACTTGAACGCATTAGATTAAGTGCAGTTCGTCTTTCTGGGTAACTTGTTCCACCTTTGACGTGCTTTTTTTTTTTAAAGTTCATAATATATGGTATAAAAAACGTTGAAAGTACAGCAAGTTGCTAAAATTTCAACAAAAAATAAAAACTAAGTTAGAATTCAGTGTAAATTCAGTTAGTGTTCTGCAAAAAATAATAATAAAACAACGTGCTTTCGAAATTAGAACCAGAACGAAAGCCGAAACGAACATTTTGAATGTGTGGCCTGCGTTGCCTTCATTGCTCCACCCCGCATATGGTAATTTTACCCTCTTTCCACCGGCAGCCGGAAGTGCGGCCTGGATGCGATTCAATTGCTCTGTTTTCCCTCTCTGTGCTGCGCAGTCAGGAGGTACTGCCTAAAATGAGCGGAACTAGGCTGGGGGTTAGGGGACGCTTGCTCTGCGTTGGCACCACAGGCAGGATGTGCGAGGTTCGGTGGTAACTTGGAGGCTCACACTTGGGCTTGGAGAACACGATCGGGAAGAGGGGGAGAAAGAGATCGAGTGCCGGAAGGGCGGACAAGGTTTGTCCTTTGGGGATTGCCCACGACCAGCTTTTTCTTCGCCGTAAAACCCATGGAGAAAGAGAAATCTGGGAGGCGACGAATGGATTTGTGTGAGTCGCTTGGTGAAAAACATCTGTGTTTCTGAGGCACGATTCGGGGCGTGTACCGAGGTATGTTCGCACGAAGTACTGACACAGAAACGAGCAAGCCACGTTCTAACCTAGTGTGTTGCGCGAGCCCAGCTCGTGTGGCTAGTTTACGGATCAACATGCGATCCAATAAAATGGGGTTAAGTAGATCATGATAAGCACGTTGCGTGCACACACACAACCACAGTCTTTGTTTTCTTAAGTACCATAGCGATTTTGCACGTTCTGGCTATGCCTCTCGATTGAAGCGTTCCTGAAATAAGGTATTATCTTAATCTTTTATTTCCTTGCTCCTTAAATCATCTTGTGCCATCAATCAAGCTTCCCCCCAGTTTAGCTGTATTGCAAAATTTGAAATAAATATAGGTTATGAAGGGTTTTTTTTTTTTTTGAAAGACTGCTTTCTCCTGCTAGATTTAATCTTACAGGGTAATATTTTTTAAAACATTCTGTGTAAGAAATTGAATGTAACTTGATTGGAAATATGTGATGGCAGAAGTTAACTTTGTGATTTCTATGATCTCAACAGGACATGTGAATTTAAATGCACACTAACCTGGTGGCAAATTTTAAATCTTTCAATTTAATGGGACTTACTTCTGCATAAAATAATTTTCTATTTGATTATAAATAGGAAAATTGGTATCTTTCTGTTGATGCTATTATGCCCATTAGAAAGGTCTTTTCTATTTAATTTGATAACATACAAATATCACTAGGCCAGTAATAAGTAACTTGATAATATATAAATGCTATTATAAGGCAGTAATAAATTTATTGGCTTTTTTGAGAGAATCTCATAAAGGAAATTTAAGAGTCAAAGATTGCCTGCTGAAGAGCTTTGTGTAATTCTGGACTTTACATATAGTCCTCATTTTTTCTTGCTTGTATTTTACTGAAGAAAGCACAGAAGAATTATGAAAGAATTGCTCCTTATAAGTAGCTATACGGTGGAGTTTGGGCAGTTTGGAACACATGATTTCTGAAGTTTTGGCATCTCTAATATTGTTTTCAAAATGCTTTTTTTTTTTTTTTGGTTATATAGAGAATCACAGGATCTATGTTTGAAGTATCAATGTGTTGTTTAAAGTTTCTTCTCATGCCTACATTTATAACAGTAATAACCTGAATGAACTTTATTTTTTTATTCTTTTTTCTCAGATGTTTCTCCTGCTCCTAAATGGTTATAATTTGAATAGCAAACTGTGCTGCTCTTTATTCTGAAAAATAAGAAATGTGTTAGGTTGACAAGCTAGATTACTCAAAATGATATTGAGCTGAGCATGGATGCAAATGTTGACTTGGAATATATTGGTCATATGAGGACTGCTCTAAGTAAAGTAGCAGAATTGTAAAATGGTAAGTTTTCCTAATTTCTTTATTACCTTGAAAAGTACTTACTTTGTATGTTCACAATATGCAAGCTTTATTTAAATTAATAGATTAATCCACAGTGGAAAAGTGACAGATAAAACCCTGGCTGTACTTCTTAGATATGTTCATTCAAAAGTCCTGATAGGGCTTATTCTCTAGAGTCTGGATGTAGACTAGACTTCAGCTTTTGTTTCCTCTCACTGTTAACCAGCTCCCCTGGGGCTTTAGGGTCTGAAATGCAAAGCCTTTGGGAAAGTCACAGATTTCTCATTTCTGGCTTCCACCTGGTTTGTTTACAGTTAGTCCTTGCTTAATGACCCTAATTGGGACTGGAAGTTCCATCACTAAGCGAAGCAGTTGTTAGGTGAAATATCATGTGACTGCACTGCTTAGTGACGGCAGTTCCAGTAGTCCTGGTTGTGGTTGTTAGGTGAGGACCGTGCTGTCATTAGGCAAGGACCTCATGCTTCTGCTCTGCCATGTTCACTGCCACTTCAACTCCCCTCATTTCTGGCTGCCCTGTACTCTGCTGTCTACCCCTGCCACCCCTTACCAGCTCCAGCTGACCTTCACCATCGTCTTTTCCTGCTGCTGACGAGGTGTGCCTAGCTGAGGCAGCTGCTGGCTGTTTGCGAGGCCTTGCAAAGGGCCAGCAGCTGCCTTGGCCAGGCACACTTCGTCAGCAGTGAGAGGAAAAAGATGGCAAATGTCAGCTGGGGGCGGACGGGGTAGGTGGCGATGGCAGAGTTCAGGGTGGCCAAAAGGGCAAAGATGGGGGGGGATATAGGCAGGTGGGGGGAGTCAAAGTGCACTCTGGGGTCATAAATGCGGGAGGACTGCTAAGCACCCAAATTTTGATCGTGACTGCAGGGGTGTCAGGCCTAGCCCAAGGAACTCCAAGAGACCATGTAAATTCAGTCCAGCAATGTTTA